GATTTCAACAACGAATTTGGATCAAAATAAAGGAAAAATAGCCCAACCAGCTAGCAAACTAAACAACACTAAAAAATGCAAAAAACAGAGCATGCACTACAAATGTGATCCAAGCAGCAATGAAATGTAAACAAATAAACTAGATCAAGAAAGAATCAACAATTAAACAAATAAATCTAAGGATTTAAAGTGAAAAGAAGGCAAACAACTCACCAAGGAGAGAACAATTCCACGCCAAAGTTGATTGATCACATCTAACCTGCACCTATCACTTGCATCTAGATGAAATTTTCAAACTTGATCTGGAATGTTTTGTTATAAGTTTGAGGTTGAATTTTTACAATGTTGTAGCTAATTGAATTAGAAAATGATAAAAAAAATTTTAATTAAAACAATTAAGATTCGTATAAGATATCATAAGAAAACCACAAGTAGGTTAGATTTGGTAGATTCAAAAATAGATTTGAGTATCAATGAAAAATCAATAGATTTGAACTAGAAATCAATAAAATTTGCAAGTTTCATTGCCAAAATTGTTAAGAAAACTGAAAATTACTTAAGCAAATGTAAAACTGTAATCAAAATCAATAGAAAAACATAAAGATCAAGGGCTATTTGTTTGCTAAGAAAATAAAATGTAGTAAAGGAAAATGCAAAAATTAAAGATTAAGAAAAATAAAATCCTAAGCTAAAGTCTCCCATAACGGTTGGCTCCACTCTTATTTATAGGTAGTTGAGTAGTGAATGGAGCCTCAAAAAATCTCTCTAAATTATTTACAATGAGATAAGCTTCTAGAGAATTCTTTCCTCATTGCTTCTGCACTTGGTGCATGACTGTTTGGCTTTTTTTGTTCTTCCTCAATTGCAAGCCTTCCTAATGCGTTTTACCACTTCCAAAAAGTCCAAGTTATAATTAATAAAAGCTCTCCAATATGCCATGTCATCACCTGTTGAAATCTTTCTTTGAATGCCAAAATATATGCCCAATTCTTATGCAAACGAAGGTTGCATTCCCTGCCACTAGTGCACTATTTTTTCCTTGTTAAGCCTCTTGCATGCATATATGTTTTCATTTTTTGCTACAAAAATATTCAAGTATTCCATGGAAAAATTTTACAATAAACTCATTAGAAAAATGCTGGAAATAATGCTAAAAAAATTTATGGAAGAAAGGTTTAAGAAAACTCCTTCAAAAGCAATTTATCTTAATAACACTAGTTTTAGGCCATTTTCACAATTTGCACAAAAAATCCTCCAAAATGTATCTAAATGGATCAAAATTCCTTATTTTCTTCATTTCACCCACACATAAGACAATTGTGATTTTAGGATTATTTTGCTAAGAAATGCTAAAGAACAAACTAAAATAATACTCAAATTGCACTAAAATTAAGCATTAAAAAGCTAAAATTTTTAATGCAATCAAATATTGTGAGAATTTTTAGGTTAAAGAATTATTTTAAAATTTTTCAACATCTAGGCAAAATTTAAAGGTAATTTTTTCCACCTAAGATTTATCACAACATTCTTTAAAAATAAAAATAATATTCTTTATAGATGATAATTGCCAGTAACTCTTTCACCTTTAGCTAGAGTACTAAGAATTATTTTTCTTGGAATGTTAATTTTGTTTTATTTTTGGATCCATTTTTCTAATAACATTTTCCATGAAAAATATTTTTTATCAAAACCAATGATGTTATATTAACAAAGAATCAATAGTGGTAATCAAAATATATAAACATGTGAATCAATGCAAACAAAAATCTAAAGATTAATATATATATATATATATGCAAATGGATATTATGCATAATTATGAGATGCAATTTTGGAATCAGGTCTTTAAATATAAAAAGACCACCAGACTCTTCAACCTCTAGGTAGAGTTTACGTGAGATTATTTATACCTAGGATCCCATTTTTGTTTCTTTTCATTTGTTTAATCTTATTGTTATCTTAGGATAAGGAATCGTATGAAAAATTTAATAAAATTAAAATTTCTAAATACTCCATCCTTAAAACGATATTCAGAAACAGATTACTTTATATAAGGTTTTTATACGAACCTTTTAATTTTTGGGATGGCTTTAGGTGTTGGCATAGGTCAAAGTTTTTGGGGTTTAAGTATTTCAGGGTCTAGACAATTTAAGGTTTCAATTTGGATTTAGGATTTCAGATTTAAGGTTAGAAGCTAGGTTAAGGGTTTAGGGATTAAATCTTAAAATTTAGGGGTTGGTTTAAGGTTCAGGCTATATTTAGGATTTAGGTTAGGGTTTAGGGTTAGGTTTAAGGTTTGGGTTTGATTTTGGGTTTAGAGGTTGGATCTTAAGGTTTCGAGGTTGACTTTGGTTTAGAGGTTGAATTTGGGGTTTAAGGGTTAACTTTAGTTTAGGGGTTGGTTTTAGGGTTTGACTTATGGTTTGGGCTTTGACCTTGGCTTTTGGTATTTGACTTTAGGGTTTAAGGTTAGGGTAAGATTTTAAGGTTTGGATTAGGATTAGATTTTTGAATTAAGGATAGGTTTCAGGGTTTGATTTTAGGTTAGGTTTTAGGGTTTGGATTTAGGTTAGGTTAGGTTTGAGTTAGGGTTAGGATTAGGTTTTATGGTTTACCATGATTTTTATAAACCTCTTTAAAAATCCCAACATCTAGGTAGGCTTTTGAAATAAGCCAAAAAACCATAATTTTGAAATTTGTTTAAGGCTTTAAAGTGCAAAAAAATATGTTAAAACAATACATGACAATGTTAAATGCAAGAGATTATTCTACTATGATGCATGACATGAGCAAATTAAGAAATACCTAGCAAACATTAAAAACGAGCAATTGATAAACCAGGAGAGAAAAGAGGGGCCAAGGTAATGGGCAATAGGCAATGCTAAGACCAAGATCCCTAGGCAATGCTAAGACCAAGATCCCTAGGCAATGTTAGAAAGTACTATATAGTCTTTTTATCAAACACTTGAGAAAAGTATGAAAACTTATATTTTTATTTCATCAAACACTTGAAAGCACCTAAAGCATTAAGTTTCTAATTTTGACAATTTATTCAAGCACCTAGAAAACTTATTTCGATACTACTTTTTATTGCTAAGAACTCTTATCAAACACCTAAAATACTATCAAAATAAATAGTTCAAGAAAACCATTTTTTAAACCACAAAACATGTAGCAAACAAATCAAAAAATAAGGAAACACATAATCATAAGGTTGCACCAAAAACTCATGAAAGCACATAATGGTAGCTAACAAACCATCAAAGGAACAAAAAAAACTACATGGTTGAAAATGTGATGGTATGAAAAGCGAAAGAAAATATGAGATAATAGCTACCTTACTAAGCTTTTATAATTCTTTTTTATTTTTTCTTTTCATTTATGATTTCCATGCCACTACTAGCTACCCTCCTCTTAAATTCCAATTTTAAATGATATATTTAAAGACCAATGGTCCATCTCCTAGCCCTTAGATCAATTTCATGCAAGGATTGTAGTTATTTTGTTTTCTTCCCTAAGCTTAGTGACCACAGAGAGCAATAATAACCATAAGATTTAAATCTTTTAAGATCAAGGGTTTTGAAAAAACACAGCATCAATCATGGCTTATAATGTAATTGTCCTAATGAAAAAAAGACTATTTTACCTTTATTAGTGTTTCTAAGCTTTTTCATGATTTTTCTAAAATCTTTTGATCCAATTTTTATTTTCATAATTTTAATGGACTAAAAATCCTAAAATAATATGTAATTATGGTTTGGAGCTTTTTGTAAAAAATCAATCTCGAGAAGATCAAATTACAAAAATATCCCAAAAAGTATTTTGGTAATTGCATTCCTTTTGAAATGCAATAATAGTTTTAATACATAAAATTTATGGAATAAAATAAAAACATGATGTGGAGCTTTTTGTAAAAAATCAATCTAAAAAATTTCAAATTAGGAAAATACTCTTAAAGGATATTTTGATAATTTTAATCTTTCTAAGGTGTAATTAGGATTTGTAATATATCAAAATAAATAAAATAATATTAAAATATAATATGAAGTTTTTCATAAAAAATCGATATCGAAAAAGCCAAATAATAAAAATAACCCTAAAATGTATATTTTCAATAATTCAAATTATAATTTTATTAATCTCAAGTCTTAATAGTCCCATTCAATTATAAATTTCAAGGGTTAACTCGAGTTTAACCAAGTTTTACTGAGTTTAATTAAGTTTGACTATATTTGACTACAAGGCATTTTAGTCATTTTAATTCAAATTCAAATTTAAAAATTTATAATTCTTAAAAGAAATATTAGATATAAACTAGGCCTGACTTTATCAAAATTGTCCCATCCATGTCACTAAATTTGGTCACCCTAACATATTTTAATTTGATTTTAATTTTTCCCATCCAAAGTCATTGTTAAATATACTAAAATTGATCATCCTCATAGATTCTATCTAAATTTTGACAGAAAATGACATGGATGCCTTGTCATGTTCCATATATCTGCCACATCAATTAACTAAATCAAATAATTTCATGATTATTAAACTTTTACCCAATTTCCACATAGGTTAATAAATTTTAATTTATCACTGTAAGGTCACTAAATTTTGTTGAGTATATCAAATTTGATCATTCTAATAAAATTCATTCATGAACACAAATAATTGTTTATTTAACATGTAAATTGTTTATTTATTTAGTTAAATTTTATTTATTTATTTACCATGTAAATTATTTATTTATTTATCTTATATTTTTATTATTTATTTTTTAAATTAAAATAAATAAATAAATTACATACAAAATCGATTATATTTTTGTTAAAAAAATGTAGTTTTTTTCTATGTAGGCTACGTTTTTATTAAAAAAAAAGTACTGTGACTGGTCTTGGATTTGAATGATTTATGTGTTAATAAAAATATTAGACAAATAAATAAATAAATTACATATTAAATAAATAAATAATTTCGTGTTTGAAATAGACTACGTTTTTGTAATTTCAATCATTAATCAAGAAACGAAAGTTCACAGGCATGCGGTCCATGATAGATCCAAAACTTCTGCTGTACTAGCAAAAATCATCATTAAGGTGAAGTTCAATAGTATCATAAAACATGCACAAGGCTGGCATTCCAAGGAGCATATACCAAGTACAAAACAAAATCACAAAGCAGACCTCCTTCTAGCTGAGAAAGGATTGCGACTTCGTGGTGGAGTAGCTGTGGAACAAGAACAATTTGTATCTCTAACTAAAAATGACATCTTGAGAGTTTTGACAACCACAGAGAGTAATGGTGAAAATAGTGGAGCTAGGCATCCATTTTTTCTATTCAGCTCCTCACCTGTTGGAATTGCTCTAACCATTGCCTCATCTCAGATGCATAAGATCTTGCCTCCGGTACATATATAAGATCCTTTTAGACAACCTTTTACTCATTTTTTTGGCATTAAGTAGTTCTCAATATCATTAAACACTAGCTCTCTTGGCTTCTTCAATTGCAAATAAGATCTTCTCTTTTTGGCAATGAATCGCAAAGTCATACCGGTTATATTCAAAAGCTAATAAACCCATCACATTTCCTCCTGAATCAAATAATGGTGCCCCCCTTCCTGCTTCAAGGCTGTCTTCGGATGAACATAATCCCAAATTACCGGTCTGAATAACATTTGTCTCCATATCACATTCAAGAAATTGATCTCTGAACAAGCGATCAATATCATTAAAATTTCTCAAGAGAGAAGAGACGTAACTAATTTGATAGCCAAGACCTTTACTAGGAAAGGCGTTTTGAATACAAAAAATATCCTGGCCCACAAATATTTCATCCTCTGAAATGTTTGCACTTTCAAGCAGATTCCCATTCTTTAGCTCTACCTTAATTAGAGCCAACTTTTGCCTTTTCAACTCTTCACTCTTACAAATTTTAGCTTCATATTGTTCTTCACTTCCATCAAAAGAAATGAAAATGCTGGAACCAGTCTTACTAACCAGTTCATACAAAGTCAGCGCAAAGCCCTCATCATCTATAACAACCCCAGTCCCATGTTTAGCACTATCTTCATTAGTATCTTTATCAATATCTTCATCAGTACCCTCATCAATATCTTCATCACTATCTTCATTAATATTTTCATCCTTATCTTTTTTACTATTATATTTAATTGTGAGGCGTCCAACAGTTGGGGCCATCTCATTGTACAAGGCATATGCTTGCTCTTCACTCAGTGAATTAGAGATATTTCCATTAAAGGTTCTCCGCGGCATATTATAACTGCAACAATAATTAATTCTCATGAGTGGTTTTCCCTTTTTTTTTTTTTTAGCAAGTCTATAAAACTATATAAAACTAACCTTTTCAATGGAAACAGCCAAGTGAGATTCAATTAAGCTAAACAGAGTGAAGTGAAGATGGGTTGGGATAAATGGAGAATTTGGTATAAAAGAAGATTTTGGGGAATCTCGTTTGAGAAAAGTAAGGAGAAGTAAGGAAAAGAAAGAAAGGAAGCTATTGGCAGCAGATATGAAAACAAGGAAAGAATAAATGAAAAGGAAAGAAAAAGATGAGGAGAAGCTATCGAAAAAAGATTGCCAGCGATGGTGATAACTGTAGCAGTAGTCCCGTCATCGGCTAAGGTTTCATTTGAATGGGTGGTGAGATTAAATGTGGTGAGATTGAAAATAGTAATAAAAGTTATTGTAGCTGTGATTGAAAAAATATTACGATTAAAAAAAAATTTAGTGAGAATTTATGTTGACTTGATTTTACTGGAGTTAGCATTTGAATTCAACTTGTGGTACAATAAACTTAATCGCACCGTGCCTAATCCAAACGGGGACTAAGGAAAAAGGGAGATGAGGGTTTAGAGAGAGTTAGAGAGAGTCGGCTTTAGGTAGGCAATGGGTAGGATATTCAGATACCCATTTTTGAATGGATTAATAAAATCAAGATATTACTCTAACCAAATAATATTCACAATTAATCTAAAGTTTGATACTGCCCATTATTTGATTAGAATCCAAATCCAAACCATAGCAACAACAGTAATTTATCTAATTTTTGCAGTCTAATACTTGTTAATCAGATTTTAGTTTAGTGGAAAAGAAAAAATTTTAGAATTTTGAAGTTTTAGAGTCAAGTGTTATTGTATGTAGATTTAGTTATGTAGATAAGTTATAATTTATAATGTTAATTATTTAGTTGATTATAAGTGTAACTTTAGAAAATTATGCAATCTAATTTTTTTTGTTTTTTCTATTTTATTTTTTATTAAGCTATTTTTAGTTTTTATTAATAAATTTTATAAAATAATTAATGGAAGTAAGATGATGAAACAATTTATATATGATTGGTTTTGATTCGCACCATACAATAAAAGAATTTTTTTTTTTAAGTTAGATCAAGCTTTTCCTTTAAATAATATTAAGTTGAAAACAAATTTCAAGTGATCTGTCCTATCTCAAGTGTTTACATAATTCTTCCTTCAGTTTTTTTCATTTTATTGCTTTTTTTTTTAGTTTTTAATTTTTTTCTTTTTCTTTTTCTTTTAACATTTTAACATTTACTTTCATTTTTTATTGAATAAATTTTGTAATAAAATAATCAATTAAGATAGATATTACTAAATAAATTGTATCCCATAAGATTGAGTTTTTTTAAAATTAAACTCGGATCAAAACAAGGTTTTGAATATTACATCTCGATCTTGATATATATATATATATAAATATATTTTTTATTATTTATTTAATTTTATATTTATATATTATTAAAATTATTATTTAATACATTAATTCAATAAATTCATATGCTATCTTATTTAGTTTTTTTTGTTATTTTTTTTTGTTTTTTTAAATTTTATTTATTAGATAAATTTTGTGAAAAAAAATCAATAGATGTAAAGATTACAAAACAAATTTTATTCGATGAGTTTAGATTCATCAAGATCTAATCAATGCAGTTTTTTTTTAAAATAAAGATTGGATTAAGTGTTACTTTTTTGAACAATTTAAGTCAAGTCAAAATCCAATTTGGAATGCTCTACGCCGACTTTCTTCTATATATATATATATATATATATATATAATATTTTTTATTATTTATTTAATTTATATTTATATATTATATTAATAAAAATATTATTTAATATGTTAATTTAATAAAAAACTACATTTACGTATAATTAAATTATAATTTATATTAAAAAATAAATACACCTATATTTATTTATATATTATCATCTAGTAAACTTTTATATAAAAATTTTACTTGAAACATAATTTAAAAAACAAAAAAATATATACATATTTCGCCGCAAAAATGTGAGTCTAATTCTAATATTCTATTAATCACAGATATAAAATAAAACAACAACGGAAGTCAAAACACAAATTCACTCGCAATTTTACTTTAAAAAACAACAAACAACACTTGAAGTCTTGAACCATAGAAATTGCAATCTTATCATTTTCATCAGTTATCTCACATTTACACTTGTCGACATTTTTCAAAAGGCCTATAAACAATTTAAATTACACAATAAGCAACATTACAATCAATGCCGGCAAAAGCTAAGCTCATAGAAAGAGGGCACAATCATATACAAGAGAACTCATTGCAAAGGCATATGAAGTGGTAGAGACCAAGACACCCAACAACATCAGTTTAAAAATGAGAAGCTTCCAAAACGATCAAGAAATTAATGAGATTCCAACGGCATTATATAGATTTTGATACTTAGCAAATAGGAAAACCAAACGCGTTATATAGATTTGAGAAAAAATTTATCGATAAAAACTTGCAGGCTCTACCTTGCAAAACGACCAAGATGCTTTAAAAAAGCTTTCTCTGAGCTTGCAGACGGAGCCGGCGAAGACTGTAACAGCAGCAGCAGCAGCAGCAAAGTCGTCGTTGTCGGATAAGATATATAGTGAGGGAGTTCTTCGATGTTTAAGAAACAAGGAAATGAATGGAAAAGAAGGAAGAGCAGAAAGAGGGAAACGAATCCTGGGTAAATTCTTTTACGCCTAGACGACAAGAAAAGAAAGTGATGCTTAGAGAAATAGAGAGAGGCGGCTAGGAAGTGTGAAGAAAGAGGGACTTTTAGGTTTAGATACAATCCAAGGCTGCCGTGCTAATAATATTTATCACTAGGAATATAAAACTATTTGCTATAAGACTGTTTGTTTTACATTAAAGATTATAAAAATAATAAAAAAAAAAAAAGAAGAAAAGTTTTATATTCGAGAAATTATTTGATATAATGATATCAAAATTTTTTTTAATCTGAGATTAATATTGTGATATATGCCTTATTTTTTAAATTAATTTTTTTATTTTTTAAGTATACACTAAGAGATATGTATAACTATGTTAATTAATTTGTAAACTTAAAAAATTTTATTATTAGTATATTTGATAATTTTTTATATTTTTTACAAAAAAATTAGAGTGAAAAGTAAAAAATATGAAATGATTCCATTATTATATATATTTGTTTATTTATTTTTCTAAATATTTCAATGTAAAAAACTTATGGTTTAATATGATTTGTATCAAAAATATAAAAATGATATATTAGATTAAGTCTACCCTCGGGGAGTACTCAATTTACATATGTTAGAATAAAAACATAAATATTTATAAATAAAGAAAAAATAACTCCAATTGCTAAGCGCATAGACACAATCTAGTAGGGTTTTAATTTTGATTGCATTATTACCTTTACTAACCTCCTAAATTAATGTCAAAAGTATAATATATTGTCATGTGATTTTAAAAAGTATAAAAAATAAATACTGATACATGCATCTTATGATAATGATTTGTATGTTATCATTGCATTATAATAGTCTCTTATCATATGACATATAGAATAAACTATACATTCTTTTAATGTAGACTCATGTGATTTAAAATAAAACATATAAATAAATGACTGATATAATGTGTCTTACCATAACAATTTATATGTTATTGTTATCTTAAAATAATCTCTTATCATGTAGTATAGAATCAATTATATAATCTTTTAATTAATCTCTTGTTATATGATTTAAAATAAGTAAAAAATATATATAGATAATTGATATGTGTACCATATTATAATGATTATGTAATCTCTTATATCATTATACATGATATTTAGAATATATTATTATTTTTGTTTACATTCAAACGTTCAATCTGTTATTCATGTGATTTAAGATTATCTTCTTATTATCTTAAGCATAATTAACTATTTTAATTTCATAATTAATTTTATTATGTTTCATTAAACTTTTTTTTTGCCAACAATGTTCAATTAAGTGAAAAAAACTTTAAGATATAAATTAATTCTCTTAGCAAGCCAATTCAAATTATCAAATTGGGGTTTTTTGGTAAGCCCTTACTAATATGGACTACTTGATAAGGTTTAAACCATTTTATTCACATAAAATTTTACATATAATTATAGATGTGAACGAGTTACAGGTTCAAGTACCCGCTATTACGCGTCTAGAACTGAACTGATTCTAGTACTTAGTGTTACTTGGGTATAAAGTTAATCGGATGTATGGTTTGCAAAGCGATTCGAATAAAAGGATATTACTCAAATTCTAAGTTCTACAAGATCTCCTGTAAATACTCCGTTGGTTTGAAAAGTTTTTAATATCAGTTTAACTTGAACCCGTCAAGAGCAGCAATTTTTCTATTCGAACAAAATAATTACCCACTATTACCCTCTTAAAACTAAACAGAATTGGGAACTTAGTACTACCCAAATTTAAATTTAATTGAGTTCGGATATAAGGAATCTAAGAGGTGTTATTCGAACCCTATGTTCTATAATACCTCTTGTGAAAATTCAGTCTGATTTGAAAAATTCTTAATGATAATTGAACATGAACCCGTCATGTTTACTAACTTTTTTACTTAGTATACAATAATTACTTGATTGTAGGATATTCGAATCTAATATAATCGAGTCAAATAGTATCATGCACTCGATTAAGTCGGTTTAGTGAAGATAATTAAAAAATATGTGTTAACGGCTTTTCTGAGATTATTTATTTATTTATTATATATATATATTTTTTTTTTTTTTTTTGCAAGGAAAACAAATTTTGCTCAAACATTTTTTTTGTCCAATCTCTAACCCTAAGACCAAATAAAAACGTCAATAGAAAAGGCCCATATCCAATTAAAGGAAAGAGAGTTTCTCTTCAACTTCAATCTTTTTCTTAAATATTTTAATATTCAATGATAATTTATATGTAATGTTTAATATATATATATATATATATTTAGTGAATTTTACTATTATAATTTTTAAGAAAATGAAATGGAAAATTAGTTAAAAATAGGGCATAAAAAACAAATAAAAGAAGAATGTTTTTAAATCCTTCCAATCATGGAAATATTAAAGACAAAATTTTCATGAAAATTCTTAAGGTTAAAATTAATTTGGTAGGTTTTAAGAAAGTGTTGGAAAACCCCTAAACATTTTTTTCAAATAATCCTAAAGAGAAAGCCAAATTATGTTCATAGTTTTGGTATTATATTGAAATTAGAGGAAGACCTGTGCTCCATTGCAGGCATGGTCGATCATTGTAAAGCAAGTGATATTTTAATTTGAAAAACTAGTTTATTTTTTTAATAATCATCTTTAATTAAATTTTAAAAAAAATGAATCATTAAAATAAATAAATAAATAATTTATTATTCATAATTTTATGAAAGCATATCATTAATCATTAAATCTTTACAAAAAAAATTATATCATTATCATGAGAGCATATCATTATAAAAAAAAAAATCACTAAATATATGTAAGTACATATGTATTGTAAATTTGAGTAGCAAGCATAGAATGTAATGATTCATGCCTGTTTATAGTTGAGTAGTTTTTAGAATGTCTAAATCAAGATAGACTTTTTAACAGTTCCCGATTATAGACTTATAATAAGTAAATAAGTTTTTTGGTCTCTCTAATACTCTAGGTTTTGTGAGAGGGTTGTCATCTTGTCAAATATAAGAGTTTCCTCTTCAGGGATTTTGAGGTGATGTTTTTTTAGTTATCGAGTAGTTAGTGGCTCATAGTAACTGGGGTCATTACATCGGTTTATTTAGCAGTCAATAAGTGATAGTCTAGGATCAACCATGGTGGATGACTTGGATGATGCATGGCAAAAGCTCAAACTGACAGAGGAAGAAAAAGAGTAAATGGACATGGAAGATGTCTTGAATAGCACAGATCTATCGGAGGAGAAGAATTGAATGGTAGGTAAACTATTAACCACTCGCACTTTTAATACAGACTTAATGATAGGCACTTTAAGGGTAATATGGAAGTTGACAAATGAGATGGCAATAACGGCACTGGGGGAGAATTTGTTTTTATTTCAATTTGGGTCCAAGTATGATAAGAAGAGGGTGTTAGAGGGATCGCCTTGGTCTTTCTACAAAACCCTAATGGTGTTTAAGGATTACAATGGAGATCTACGTCCAGAAGAGTGCACTTTCAACGAAGCTACGTTTTGGATAAGGGTCTATGGCCTTCCTCTGAGAATGATGAATGCTGGAGTTGCGAAAAAGATAGGGAATAAAGTAGGGCTACCAAAGAATGTACATAAGAACATTACCTACTCTACTGGGGGGATTTTTTTTAGGATAAGGGTAACGATTGATATCACAAAGCCCATAAGAAGGTTTGTATTGCTGACAAGGAAAGGAAGGGAGGATATTCGGGGACAACTGAAGTATGAGCAAATGCCAAACTTTTGTTATACATATGGAATGGTAGGGCACACAGAGAATGAATGTGTCTTTGAAAAAAATGAAGCTGGTGATGAGGAGAATAAAATATAGTATGGGGACTCGCTAAGAGCCCTTTCAGCAAGAACGAAGGTATAGCGTCATTTGGAGGGTTTCAGAAGCATTCAAAAACTGGTAACGTGGACAAAGGCAAAGAGGAGAGAGTCCAAACGAAGGAAGGCAAATCTAATGATGACATTAAACAAAGCGAATCAACATCAGCCTCATTGGAGTGGGAGGTCTCCGACACGGACTCAGGCAGGCAAAATCAAGGGAAAAAAGGAAAGAACGACATTGCCTTGGTCAGCAAAGGAAACGGGCGTGACAGGAGGGAAGAAAGCAAGAATGTAAGGATCACAAACCCGTTGGTTGAACAAGATTTGTGGGGCGACAGAAAGGAAAAATGAAACCATAGAAGGGAAGAGGAGGAAAATCTACAACATGGAATGAATCGAAGAAAAGAATCAGAGGTGCAAGTAAATATGAGAATGACAAAGCACGTGGAGAGCGCTTGACAGAGGAGGGAACCATATATGAAAAGGGGGAACATTCTAGAGATATTAATAATTCATTGAATGACGTGGCAAGTTTGAAAGGGGGAACAGTAGAAGATGAGATGGAAACTTTTAATGAAAACACCGGGGTAACTGCATGCATAAACGTACAACCTAGCACATGGCAAAAATGGAAGAGAAAGGTACGAGAAATAAACAAGGGAAATGAGGCAGAAAAAATACACAATGGCAAGAGGAAAGCTATGGACTAGGACAGTGATTTTATAGCAATTGATTTGCAAGGGAAGAAAAGCAAAGACGAGGCCTAGGATGGTTCATAACAAACTTAAAGAATAGCAGAGACCAAAATCCAGTCCTGCCGAAAGCGAAGAGGTGCCTATTTTGGAACTGCCATGGGCTTGGGAACCCACGTGCGATTCGTGCTCTTCGAGATTTGTTGAAGAGTAAAGATCCCTATGCAGTGTTCTTATGCAAAACCAAGCTGCATGCAAGCAAAATTGATAGAATAAAGAGGAGATGCGGATTTAGAGCATGTTTTGGAGTGGATACAATAGGAAATAGCGGTGGATTAGCAATGATGTGGAGGACTGATGTATCAATGAGGCTAATCAATTATTCTAGAAACCACATAGATCTGTAGGTAAATGATGAGCAAGGAAAGGACACCTGGAGACTAACTGGTTTCTGTAAGGAACAGGATATTAGTATGAGAGAAGAATCGTAGGCTTTGTTGAGACACTTGGTAGGGCAATCGAGTAAGCTGTGGATTTGTATGGGAGATTTTG